ATCGACCATAGAACTTACGAAATGATGACTTTAAACGAGACTGTTGATATTCTTGTTTAATCAACTTCTTTGTCAATAACTTGCCTCGTTTTAGAAAATGTTCATACGTAGAGCATACTCTGGCGTATCGAATCAACTGAGAGATATAAACCCCGTATGCAGGTGATAAGGGTATATTGTTGCATAAGTAAGAGAAGATGACGATTGAAAAGATAAAGTCATCACGTTTATCATAAAGCTTTGTTGTTAGACTACCATTGAGGTCTTTTTCTAATAAAATATCCAAATATGAAACAGATGTGTCAGACTCTGTGGTATCTTTTATCTCAAGCTCACCGGGATATATCGTGTCGACATAAGAATGAAAATAACCATTGCTAATTGACAATACGTCGTCGATATATCTAAATGTCAAATTGAAGGCCACAGCAAGTGTTTTCTTTTCACGTAAAAGATTTTAAAGTCCATTGAAACAATAGAAAATGTGAGCAGAACAAATAGGGGCCTCTTTGAAACATCAAAGGTGGGATCAGGGGCCATGGAAGTGTAAACATCCCCTGTCGACCGGTCACACCCGCCGTGGGCTCCTTATCATGATTGAGTTAACAGAGAAAACAGGAGGCAATTCAGTAATAATTTGAATGAAACACGTCAGTCATCATTCGACCTAACGACAAATTGTAAATTTTAAGGTCACAGTATCGACCATGGAATTTGCGAAATTATGACTTCAAACGAGATTGTAGATACCCTTGTATCATTATTATATTGTCGGTGTCGGTTGGCTGCCTCTTTTTAAAATCTGTTTGTACGAAGAACATGCTCTTGTGTTTCGAATCAACTGTAAAACACAAAACCTACATGCAGATGTTAATGGTATATTGCTACACAATAAAGAGAGGTTGGCGATAGAAAAGTTGAAGTCATCACGTTTATCATGTTAGTCGTTGGTGTGCCATCAATGTTTTCCTCTAGTAAAATATCCAAATATGAAGCTGTTTTGTCAGACTCTGTGGTGTCTTTTATTCCGAGTTCACTAAGATGTATCGAATCAACGCATGAATGAATAATTATTGTTAATTTTAAAGAACTTTGTCGATAATCATATATCTAAATGTCGAATTGAAGGCCACAGCAAGACATTTCTTCTCTTCATATAGAAGTTTTGAATAAATAATAAATTCTGCTTTATCCGAATACAAAAATAGGTCTGCTAATAAAAGGGCACAAATCGTACCCATAAGAATGCCAATAGATTGTTACAAATCCTTTTTTCCAAAGACTACATAGATATTGTCAATGAAAAAATTAAGTATCTCATAACAAAAATGAAAATCAGGATTTTCAAGTCAAATCTTGTCTGAGACAAAAACTGCATAAAACCGCGCGCAGCTCTGTTAAGGCTGCATAAAGGGGGCGGGGCCTAATTTATACGGGAAAAGTTTACTGTGACATCACACAAATATAGCAATTCCTCACAATAACTGAAAATGAAATAATTTGCGAATCTAAACTGCATAAGAGTAATGAACTACATCAAAACTTACCACTGCATTCATTTTTGTCGCTAGTTAAATCCCACACAGCAAGATATAAACAAGTCACTGATCACAATGCACTTGTCGACATGACGTCATCATGGTAAAGTTTGACGCATTTTATGTGCAGTGAGAGGCGGATCAAGTAATTTTTTCACAGTGAAAAATGCATTTTATTATTAAACAGAATATTATTTGAAAATCTTAGGTAGACCATTAATACAAATCTGAAACATTTGTTTAGTGTCATTATTTAAAAACTATCGAGAGAATGTATTGAATTAATTCTACCGTGTTTTTGTCTACAGGGTGTGCATGTTTCACGCCGAGGTGCCTCATTAAATCGCCTTTTCGCAAGGGCATACACTTAATAGATCTTGACCATTTTTTGAATACATATAATGGACATATTCCTTAACTTGAAAAGTGCTGCTGCTTTCCTTAAATCGACAGCATAACTTAATAAATACATAAAATACTTGGTAAAGGTCAAACATATTTCCACATTAGCAAGATAACATGAAATTTAAACTAATAAAATGCGAATTCTATTTAAAGCAGCAGCACTTTCCATAAACTACAAGTTATGTAGAAACAATCTATTACTTTGATTTTTAATTTTAACTAGGGTATGCCCTTGCGATATTGAAATTTGTTTGTGACCTACATACAGTACACATTACATGCATTTATCACGTGACTATCATATAACGTGACCAAACCAAATTCAGTACAGAGCGAGGTATACCATGTTATTTCAAAGAATGTTAAAGTCATAAGATAATATAGTACCTTTACAAAATTAAATTCATTTTAAAAAGGTATGTATTTATACACGTTTATATTTTGTTGATTTCTTCGAAGTACGCCTTAACAGTGCTGGGCGCACAAAAACTGGACACCTTCCAGACTTGATACCTCTGGAGAATACACTAGATGTTCTCGACAAACACAGTCCAAACAAAAAAAAATTATAAAGTAAATTATAGTTAACTACAGTAAACTATAGATAAATATAGTGGTAAGTTTGACACTATGGAAACTTTAATTTACTATATTGATAACTTTTTAACTTTGACTTACTGAAGTGATAACTTTGAAAACTTTATTTACTACTATGATCAGTACGACACTATAGCGATAACTTTTTACAATTTCGATTTCCTATAGTGATAACTTTGAAAAAAAAAATGATTAACTATGGTGATGACTTTACGATACTTATCACTCATATGTATTTCATATCGCTGTGCATTAAGTGATAACTCTAAATATATCAATTCTCCAAAAAGTGACTGAATTAAAGTAGATTACAAAAAATCTTATATTTCTATTCAGTGCAATATATTCTGAATAATCCGTCAGAAAAAATTATTATCTTTCTCAAATTATGAAATTACAGAGTTGTCAAATTTTGATCTAGTCAAAAGATTTTTTTTTTTTTTTTGTGAAAAAGGGCTGCTGCTCAGAAGTCCTTAATAGCATCGTATACTTTGACTTACAAATTTACTAACCGTATAAACCGAGTTCCCGTGTCACAGTATGTGCTAGGACGAAAAAATCTCTCACCGCTTAAAGGCCTAGTGCTGAGTACAGGTCTAAATTTGCAATATGAGTGAGAAATTGTCAGAGGAACGTTGAACAAACAAACAAACATACTATGAAAAAGGTGAAAATAAATCTCTCAAGAGGTGTGATCAGGTACTTAGGAGGAGTAAGCATTCTCTGTCGACAGATCACACTCGACGTGAGCCCTATGTATTGATCAGGTAGACAGATAAATGCGTAGCTAAATTTAGTATACATGTAAAACAATGGCCAAACAATCGATATTAAATTTCATAGTCAAAATAACATCCAAGGATTAGGTTGATTTTGCTAAAAGGGTCATTATAACGACCATAGAATTAACGAAATGCTGACTTTAAACAAGATTTATGAAATCCCTGTAACATCAACTTAATTGTCAGTAGCCTGCCTTGTTTTAAAAATTGATCGTACTCATGAGTATCGAAAAAGTTGCATAAATACCATATGCAGGTGATAGTGGAATATTACTACATAAATAAGTAGAAAAGCTAAGTCATCTCGTTTGTAATATACAATTTAGTTGTTAGTTGGCCCTTATCGTCTATAGTCCGTAAACCATCCAAATTTTAAACAGCAGCAACAAATATGAAACGGCAGACTAGTCAGATAGTGTCTTTTATTTTGAGTTCACTGAGATATATCGAGTCGACATATGAATGGAAGCTGCTATTTATAATTGTTAATAAAGTCGTCGATCCATCTGAATATCGGGTTGAAGGCCACGGCAGGTGTTTTCTTCGTCTTATGTGAAAAATTTTGAATGAATTCTGCATCATAGAAATATACAAACGGTGGGTTTGTGGGACTTCCATTCAGTAAAATATAAACATTTATACTATTAAAAAAAACAAATTAAAAAAGAAATGATCCTTCGTTCATTTTAGAAATATTTTGTCATTAACAATCATTGAAAATATTAGGTTTCAAACGTATCATTTACTAACAAATAGAAAGCATTGCATAAAAATGCATTGAATTCTCATATTCTAAATAAAAGACTCAACGGATACCTTTGGTAAAATAAGAAAAATCTGCAAAATTGGATACAGTTTCTTAGTTGTAAAAAAAGATGAGACTTAAATTTCTATAGTAATAATTTAAAAACATTTTGAATTGCTATATTTATCACTCTGACACTTTGATTTACTATAGTGATAATTTGTAAACTTTTATTTATTATAGTGATCACTATGACACTACAGTGATAACTTTGTAGACTTTGATTTACTATAGTGATTATTTTGAAATTGTGATTTATAATAGTTAACCATAGTACACAAAAACATTTTTATTACGGAATAAGCAATTAAAACCTGTATGGAAAAATATCAACAGCAGTCATATCTAACCAAATTAAAGAAGATTAAAATGGTTAATCATGTCTTAAGAATTGAAGAATAAGAAATATCAAGGTATGCCATAGATGAACTCCAACAGGAAAGAGAAACATGGCTTCCAGAAGAGACATGGCGACGATTAGTTGGACAGAAAATGAAAGACCCGGAATGGGCGTGGGCCATGGTGCGGCCAACAGAGATAGTGGTCCCTGGTAAAGGACTTAAGTGCCCCCAGCACGAAAAGCACTAAGTAAGCAAGTAATATACATAGAGTAGAATTATTCACGTTAACTAATTGAAGAGTTACACATGCAGAAGCATATGCCTGTAGAAGAAATAATATATCGTAGAGTAGATGTCTTTTAAATCAAATGCTTAAAATACAGTATTATGCTGTCTGATAGTATTACGTATTATGCACATAAGCACTGATTGCATGGACTAGCTATTTTAATAAATTCTTATCATGGCTGCAAATGTGTACGTCATAGTATGAATAGATATACATTCTTTCTCATATATAAATGGGTGCACACCTTTCGTTTGAATTCAACAAACTTAAATCATGGATAAAGCCACCGAGTCAAGCAATTCTGTGATAACTTCTACACATTCTAACAACGATGATTTCCAGGAAAATCGGTTTACGACACCATTTGTCGAACCCTCCATTGGGAACATCAGTTCTAGGAACATTTCGGAAAATGTGCACCCCCAAACTCCGCCATCCTCATACACTCTGGCCAGTACAAATGATTTTGAAGAGGATGCACCATTACTAGATCTAAAGAAAGAAGAAAATATGCATAATGATGCTGAGGAATCGTCTACCTTAAAAGGCAATTTTGATAGCTGTGTTCAAATGGAACAATCAGAAAAAGTCCACATGTTACTTGGTGAATCTTATTCAAATGCAAAAAATGTAGACTCTGACATCATAGACCAAGAACGACAAAGATTGATCTACAAAGTCAGTCAGAGACCTCCTCTCTCACTTCTTCTTTTCTTTGGCCTTCAGGTAAAAGTCTTAAAATTGGATATTTCATGGCAAAAGAAATGCTTTGGTAGAGAGTATGATTTAAAAAATATATGCATTTATTTTTTTTAACTTCATTTTGATTTAATTAGCTTTAGATGTATTAAGTATTCATGGATAAAACTGAATATGTGAGTTGTAAAAACACAGTATGTGTATCGTTTTGTATTTTTGGATAGTTTAAATATAAAATGTATTTCGAGTGCTTAAATATACTGGAAAAATATGTAATTTAATTCAAATATTTTCAGATTGATTGAAAGATTGTATTGTCGTCCCATTCGAGAATTTTTCATTCACTCATATAGAGACGTCTCCAAATACCTGTGAATAGCTTCAAATTTAGACCTTTACTGATCACTCAGGGACATTGAGCAGTAAGGGATCTTTATCGTGCCATGGAGCCGTAAGGTCTCTTCCGAAATACCCACAACTTTCACTTCAAAATTGACAGAAAATATAAAAAATGCACATAAACGTTTATGGAATTAATTATTGTTTTCAAACAAAATAGTAGAAATTGTTGAATTAATTTCTTACATTTGTGCCAGAAGGATTAGCATTGTAACTACATGTACCATCAATATTCAAAAATGGCTTCTTCGCTCAAATTGAAATTTTCATCGAGTTTGATAAATAAAAATTTGCAACTTGTGAAGTTGTAAAGTCGTGCAATCAATTTTAAAGAGAAATTAAGAAAATGAATACATGCAAGAATGTTAATTTAGTATCTGAATTATTTTTATTCTTATGGTTTGTAATCATTTTTTACTGAAATTTTCGCTTTCAGCAATGTCTGATTGTTCTACCATCAATAGTAAAAGCAACCATGTTGGTGGCCGAGGTGATGTGTGCAAGAGACGAGGAGGAATTCAAAGTCCAGCTCATGTCTATGAGTCTCCTTATGTCTGGAATGTGTACATTTCTACAAAATAGCATTGGCTTCAGGTGCTTCATATGATTGATTGTTTCTTGTTTAACGTCCCTCTCGAGAATTTTTTTCACTCATATGGAGACGCCACCACTTGCCGGTGGAAAGCTTCAACTTTTGACCTATACTCGGCACTCAGGGCCATTGAGCAGTGTAGGATCTTTTTCCTGCCAGCATCTACTGCGACATGGGACCTCGGTTTATACGGTCTCATCCGAAGACCGATCTCCACGCGTCGAACCCGCGACGTTAGGATCAACTCCTTACTCCGCGACTCTAGAGCAAACGCTCTAACCATTCCGCCACGCGGGCGACCAGGTGCTTCATAAGTCCATGAATCATTAGATTTAAACAGAAATATACTTTTGCATTATAAAACTCCTTTTACATCTATTCATATGAATATTATTAAAGTTCCAAGCGCTGCTGTGAAATGTGGATTACACATCTCTTTCGTTTTAAAATGTTTTTCGATCTAAGTCTTTGCCTTATAAAATGACAACACAAAATAAATAGCATGCAAAACAAACTTTTTTGCATTTCAACAAAGAAATACAGCATTTTTTGCAATATTGTGGTCAAATTAAATGTACACACAGCTAGTATACTTTTTTTTATGTTGTTCAAAGACAAAAACCTTCATTAATATTATTAAAGATGGCACATATTCCATCAAAGTATGCCATTGGAAAGTGTATTATTGAATCATGTTTACTATTTACCTTTCATTGTTTTAAAATTGAAAACTAAAGAGAAATTCAAAAAATAAATGAAGTGCCTATTCACGATTACATTGCTGATTCTATATTATTTATTTGGTGACTTTTTCGTGTATCTATTATTGCTATCTGTTAAATGAGATTTAGAAAAAAAACGAATCAAATTCGATCATTAAATAATAATAAGTTTTAAAACACTGTTAAAAAATAATTCTTGATATTTTGAAAATTCTAGGGTTCCGGTTTATCAAGGCCCGGTCTCGATGTACATTCTTCCATTACTGGCTATTCTAAATCTTCCCCAATACGCATGCCCGGACAGAAGCTCATTTTATAATCAAACATCGGGTATATTATATACTGTTTTTAGCAGTGATCATGACTGTGCATTTCATGAGGAAAAGAAAAGAATAATAATGACTTATTTATATGAATAACCATTTAAACTGCATTGTAAGCATTTTGCCTATATAACAATGATGCTTAAAATACTTTTACCTTTTTCCCTTAGATAACAGCACTGATTTCTATGGAGAAGAAATGAGGGCAACATATTTCCAAGCTGTTGTAATCCCAAAGTTTCTAAAAGTACGACATTCTTTTTAAGCTAGCCTGAAATAAAGCTAACAACTCCTTTCAAAGCAGAAATTTGATATCTCAATTTATGGTATAATTTTTCATTGCTGTTCTAGATCTTCAGCCATACATACAGATGCTGATAGACCTTATCAATAAAGTATGACTGTATGTCAGAAAAATAATTTATCCACTGCTTCATATTTAACCCTGATTACATTGAATAGAATTTTTATACTTCAGATATCTGGGGCCTTGATTCTGGCAGGCTTTCTCCATATGCTGATTGGCTTGACTGGAACAGTAGGATTTGTGCTAAGATTTATTGGACCAATCACAGTCATTCCTACCATACTCCTCATGGGGATCAACACATACTCTGTGGTGTATATGTTTTGTAGCACACATTGGGGTGTGTCCCTTCTGTAAGCATTAATAGTTTCTTTATATGCTTTTATTAAAATTATAGATTTCATGTAGTAAGTTAAACAGGTCTGGACAATTTTTGAATATGGAAGTCAAAGACGATAACCCTGAATTGCTATAAATATACAGAATAAACAAGGTTCTCATCCTTTTAACCAATTAGAAACAGCATTTAGACAAACCCAAAAAATAAATTAATGAAACACGTGGTTTTAAACTTTGATGCTCAAAAGATTTTTTAGAAAAAACTTTCTGTTAATTTTATGCTCATTCAGGAATGATACAGCATATATGACAATTCTACCGAGAACAAACACGACTTAAAAGCTTAGAATGAATTCCAAGTGGGATTAAAAATCTGTCACTAGGCCTACGAGGTAGCAATCTCAAAAGTTTACTTGTGTTAAGAAATTTGATATGAACGGCAGATTTTCAGTTTTTAGAGCCTGATATTAAATGTTTTCGTAGGGGAATGTAATGTCTTAATTATTTCCTGATTGTTTATTACAAAATCGTCCAAATTCTTGCAAACGTGGTAATTTATGGTGATAAAAAGCATTGCTGTACATTCCCTTTTTTCCACGTTTACACCTATCCTTATGCCCATTTAAAGTGCATATAACATGGTATTCGGCGCTAATGAAACCCATGATATTTTAAAACTACGTGTAGTCTATACGAGGAACACCTGTTTGCAGTAGATCTATTCGTATAGAAACTACGCATTATCGATGAAAATCGGACGGCTAAGCAAAGTTATATTTACCAACATAGAAGATGTTCTAGTAAATGTTATAATTAATTATTGTAATTGATAATAGCTTGACGTTTTGATCTATTCCTCCGTAAGCAATTGCATTGTTACATGCATTAATTTTTTCCCCTAAATGAAAATGTCAAGTTTGTTCACTGTAAATATGTACCTTATTCTTCCAAACTTTTCTTCTTATTTCTAAAGATTTTTTGTCCCAAAAAATTATTTTGAGGGGGAAAAACAAAAGCACGTGTTCTCTTTTTGTTTGTTTGAAATATGTTTTGGGGTTGTAAAAATGCTGTTTTGTCTGATTGGGCGTAGAAATATTTATGTGTATATGATGTATATTTATAGCAACTTCCAGTTATTGTTCTTGACTTCCATATTTGGAAATCGTCCAGACATGTTAAATTATGATTCCATACCATTTTGCAAAGCTGTTTTCTGTCGAATTAATAAAAAAAAAAAAAGGACTATCAACAAAATATTAAAAAAAAGACACATTTACAGACATTTGCATATTACAACTTTTGTCGCATTTCGATGCATAATGATATATTTTAATTTCATAGCACAGCCTCTATAGCTATTTTACTCTCCATGTATTTGGATCGCTATAACATGCCTATTCCTGTCTGGACGAGAGACAAAGGATTTTATATCATCAGATATCCACTGCATCAGGTGTTTTCGGTAAAAAAAAAAAAATTAATCTTTAACCTTTTGTTAATACAGGAAAACTTGCTTATAAGTATTATCGTTTTACTAACAGTGTGACAGTTAGCTTGATGGGACGTGCTCAAATTTTTTGTGCTGATTATCAGTCTACTCATCGATTGGATGTTTGATTGCAATGAAATCAATACTAATTTGCATATGAAACACAGAATCCAGCAATCCCACTGACAATACTGACCAATCGTATTTAATGATTGTTCACTAGAGTGTAGTAAACAACAATTACATGTGGACAGACAAAGCACGTTTTACTTCCTATAATGATGATATCGATAGCTATATAGTACAACAGTGACAGAGTACCGTTATTCATTTTCTTTAAATTTTCTTATACGCATTTAAAACTCCATCCGGTCAAATCACAACAAATATGGCACATGCTTTTTTGAGGACAGAAAATGAGCTTGGACTGACCACGTGTTGCTGCTGACTTCAAATGCCGTACTGGTCAACAATCATTCAATGTGATTGGCCAGTATTATCAGGGCATAGTTGTATTCCGTATTTCATATGCAAATTAGTATTGATTTCATTGAAACCAATCATCCAATCGATGAGTAAAAATGATGATTTTAGCATCAAGCAAACTGTCACGCTGTTAGTAAAACGATAATAGGTTTTTTGACTGCAAGATTTATAATTAATTCTATATATCCAACTTGAAAATTCCTTCTATTCATATGAAAAAGTGTCAAAAACATTGGAATGAATGTTAACTTCTGATAGTCAAGATTTCTTTATAACAGAGTTTCTTATATACATTCTTACATACATGTATATTTTTCTATGTTTAACTTTGGCCATGAATTTAATTATTCCTTGACTATAATTAAATCTTACATTCCAAGTATACGTCTGCAAAATAACACCATGACCGGTTTTACCAAAGTGTGTTCAAAGAAGGATTATACAAGCATCATATCTAACTTTGCTTTCTGTTCAAACACATAGCCTTTGTATTCAGGGTTGGTCTATGAATGCTATTAATATCTTTTTCATAAATATCCCTTCATTATGTTCTTCCTTTTTTTTGTTGAGAAAATAAAAATTTCATGAGTGGTCATCTTTTTTATTAATAATAATATAGTTACTTCAAATATAGAAATATGATTCTGATGCGTGTTCAGAATGAAAACGAACTCAATGTTTTTTACAATTAAAGCAACTTTGGTTCATTTTAATGTGTTAATAAATACTTAAGAAAATAACTAAAACATCAACTTCTAAAAAACTACTATTTTTTGTATTAGTTTTAGCTCAAAAGATTATCAAGAGGTGTAGCATAATTATATATAACTATATGAGATGCAAAATATAAAGTATTTTCTGAAATTAGATTTTTCTATATAAATGCAAATTATCAGGACAAATTTTGAAATGATATAAAAAGTTTGGTACACTTTTAGTCATAAAATAATGTGGAATTATCACTCTTCGTGGGAGACCAATGTTTGTGGAATTTGTGGGTCACATTTACATCCCAACGAACATTAACTTTGTCAACGTCATTTTCTGTTTATACGAGTTACCCACGAAATTATGTCCCACGAACAAGAAAAAAATTGCTTGACCATAAACACTGACTACAAGAATTAGAATGATTCCACAGTATACTTTCTTTCAATAGATGTAACATTAAGCTCTGGCTTTATTTTTCAATTTTCTGAATGGATCCGGTCAAGTACTTATGTAAGGCTATATTTAAGTATCTAAATTACACATTCTAGAATTTAGACTCTGTGACTTTTATGACCTGAATTCGAGCAAGTGAAAAACCTTATTGTTATATCACGGATGTTCATCTCTATGGAACGACAAATTAACATATATTCAAATATTTGAACCTGTCTTCAAATAATTGATCGTATCTTCAAATAATTGAACCTATCTCCAAATGAATTGAAGAAAAGTACAATTGAATTAAAGATAGGTCTAAATGAATTGAAGATAGGTGTAAATAATCATACCTATGTCTAAATAATTAAGCCTAAGTTCAGATAAATTACACCTATCTTAAACGGAATTAGACCTATCTTCAATTCAATTAAGGATAGGTTCAGTTGAATTATACCTATCTTCAATTGATTTGAATATAGGAACAATTGATTTAAAGATAGGAACTTGTTATTGTCAATGTCTGTATAGTTAAAAATAGGTTCAATTCAATTGCGCCTATCTTTAAATCATTTATATATACCTTTTTTTTAATTCATGGCATCTTTAAATCAATTGTACCTATCTTCAAATGAATTAAAGATAGGTATAATTGAAGTAAAACCTATATTTAATTCATTTGGAGATAGGTACAATTGATTTGAAGATAGGTACAATTTATTTGAAAATAGGTATAATTAACTGAAGATAGGTTCAACTATTTTTATATATGTTAATTTGGCGTTACATACATCTCATCTTTTCCGAAAGGTATTAATTGCCGGAGCTGTAGGTTGGATAACGTCAGCAATACTTACCAGTATCGGTGTATTCAGTGACGACCCCAAAAACCCCGAGTTCTACGCAAGAACAGATTCCAAAATTGCAGTTGTGGAGAAAATTCCATGGCTTGTATTTCCGTATCCAGGTCAGTGCATACTTTTACGTGTTTTTTCTTCAAAATTCTATTTGATTATCATGTATTTTCTCCTCGATCTTAGCACCGCTTTCAAACAAACAACTATCATTGAAATGTGAAGATAACAAATACTGATCAAACTCGAAAGTCCAATTAAACAATACAAATTATGAGCAGAGCCAACACTCTGTTAACAGAAGTGGGAACATGCTCCACGAGAAGTAAGCATTCCCTGCCGACCGGTCATGCTTCTTATCATCGGGTAAACGGAAAAATCCGTGGTCAAGCCCATCTTTAAAAAAGTGTTTGTTTACCCTCTCCCGTCCGGCTTACTAAAAATGGCCCGATTCTAAACTTTTTTAACCTCCAGTAAACGATATATATTTTTTCTTTTCATTCATCCGTCAACAAGTATTCTAATTTCACTTTAATCATTTTAATATATTTTGAAAATTCTGAATAAATATCGAAATGTCTGTGGAAAAAAATTCCTACCTACACTGTACCTACCGACCGATTTTTTTTTACCTTCATTCGGGAGAGGGCAAACAAACATTATTTTAAAGACTATGGAACGCCTCAGCTGCCTTATGTGGAGAACATTCATTATATGCTGATATTTTAACATAATATGCTGCTACTTTGTCTTTATATGCTGATACTTTTTCATTATATGCTGATACTTCAACATTATATGTTGATAATTTGACATGATATGCTGATACATCAAAATTATATACTAATACTTTTACATTATATGCTGATACTTTAACATTATATGCTGATACATCAAAATTATATGCTGATAGTTTAACATTATATGATGATAGATCATTATATGGTGCTTTAGAAATAGGTTAGACATCGGGGATACAAAAATCGCACTAAACGCATGTAACAGTACATGTGAGAATACGATTCTAGACAAGTACATAATTTTTTATTATTTAAAATCAAATCAGGTGGAATATTACAGGCTGTTCGACGTATCCACGCCTTTTCTCAGCAAAACAGTCCCCAAGACCATAAACTAGAATAGACTTAAGTCAAAATTTCAAATCAATATAATTTTTGAAATAATTTTGTTAATGAAAGAAAATTTTCAACATGTGTTTGAATTTGTGTATTATAAGAATCTGTAAGTTTTTATCCACATATGTTAAATGGAACTCAAGATATTAAAAATCAAAATTTTGACTTAAGTCTGTTCTCAGTTTATGGTCTTGGGGCCTGGTCTCTTTGGCCGGATTTTAAAGGTTCCAGTGGATATAGACATTTTGATCGTCGTTCACATTCAAAGTCGGATAACTTCTTTCAAGAAAGCTAACGTTGTATTTTAAAATATATATGTAATGCAAAAGACTTTATAGGGTGCTTCAACGCATTTGTATTAATTTTTTTGATAAAAGTTTGGTAGATCCTTGAACCTTATGTTATGAATAAAGGTATCAAGTTTGTCTATTTAAAAATGGTTCTTGTTACGCTAATAGATGTAATTTTAATGTATATGTGAAAGGGTCCCCCCAAAAAAATCAAAGAAAAAAGTAAGAGGATGAGAGAATGAAAAATTTTAGAAAACTATGTTCTTGATATTCATTAGAGAAAACCCGAGTCTTGAGAAAACCTTTGTTCTTATATACTCATTTTACTACAAGTATTTTGAATGTCTGTTGTTATTAATACCCCCCCCCCCTTGAAATTATGTTTACACCTCTGGAATGTGTTAACTGGCTTTCAAGTTATTTGTACAAATTATATGTATTATTGCAAAAAATAAATAAATAAATACAAGCGTATATTTTATTATGATTTCTTATAGATGAATTTATACTGAGGTATAGTTGAATTGAAATTTAAGAATTTTTAGTGAAATATTATATTAGTTGTTTAGATGTTTAAAATAATTCTTTTAAGTTTATAATTTTTAATTTTTGGGAGGGGAAGAGGGGATTGCAACACCGTAAATATTCACAAAGTTCAAACTAACTTCATTAGCTCAGTCTCGGTGATTGTACAGTTTTCCAGAATGATCAGCAGGCATGGCATTGGATGTATAGACCGCAGCTTAAATAGTCCAATTAACAAAGCAATGGCAGCTAGATTTTGGAAGAGATTTTGAGTCATAAGTAGCCTAAATTACTATGTAGAAGTCAAAACAATGAAATCACTGAACAACAACCCCGTTCTGCTGATTTGAAAATTACATATAAAATAGTAGAGCCATCAAGAACTTAAGTGCTGATGCGTGGTTCTAAGGCCGGAAAGACCATGCAATACTTGTGGGAGGGGGTTATCATATTTTGGAAATAAATAATCTGTCGTTGAAAATGCTAAAAATAAATTAATAAGTCCTCCACTGGGATGTTTTTGGCGTGGTGGTAGCCCCACCCCTCTCCAAAAAAGGAATAGAGTTCTCGAGTTCGGATAGACCTTTTTATTCAGTGCATGTGTGTGAAAATAGATAATCTGTTCCTGGTCATCTAGGAAATGAATAATCTATCTTTCACGTAGTGACAAGGAAATAAATTATATATAATCTGACTCGAAAAAAAATGCACCCCCAACAAAAAACGGAATCAAATGTTGTCCCCTAAATTGTATTATTTTGCGTTGATGTCCCTGTGCTATCATTGATTTAAAAAAAAAACAGCCAAGTTTTATTACCATGAATAGTTCCTGAACTGAAAAAAAATATCTCAAAATCTTCGCGCAGTACATGCGCTTTTGCAAAGCTCTCTTCGTTCAGTTCACTATTAATATTATATATATATATATGGTACCCTCTACCCCTTCCTAAATCCACCAGTATATTCAAGAATGCTTACGAGTGCCCCCTCCCCTTTCGTCCCATCAATTTGCCAATACATGTATATGTATATATAATAAAAGTCTAAAACTTTGCAATTGAAAACAAAACTAATGTAGTGGATTTTTTCTCTTGTCAAAGAATTTTGGTATGATGATCCCGATATTTAACTTATTTTTAAATCACCATGCATCGTCATATACATGTAATGTTAAAGTATCAGCATATAATGTTGAAGCATCAGCATCTAATCTGAAAGTATCAGCATATAATCTTAAAGTATCACCATTTAATGACAAAGTATCAGCATATGATGTTTCGAGTATCAGCATATAATTTAATTTTAGTTGTAACACGTTATTTGACTGGATAAAATATTTCGTTTATATCGTATAACATAAGTTGCATACGTCACAATGAGTTACGTCAAAAACCTACTCCGCTTGACGTTACTTTTTAAAATATGCACAATTTGAAGCCATTTCTGGAGGAAAATTGGTCTTATTGTCTACACTGAAATTAAATTATAAGGAATGAAGCATATTTTAACCTATGTTATACGATATAACATAACTTGGGGCAGTTTACGCTTTTTTATAAACCGCTTCGCGGTTATGCCCCAAGTTATGTTATATCGTATAACATACGTTAAGGTTTTGCCATTGGTCAACAAGTACAAAAATTTATTTTTACAATAGCTCCAAAACTCTATGGTTTATAAAGTTAAAACTTTTACAGTTTATAAATATATCATTGATTAACAGATAGAAAGTATCACTTGATAACAAATACTTTTAATTAAAAAAATATTTATCGAGAAAAATTCTTTTAAAAAAAAATGCATATATTTTTAAAAAATACACCTAATTAATTCCGTAATCTTATGCCCTGTTCACACGGAGAGTTTAAGAGTCATTCTCTGTAACGACTTGAACTTTTATATAGGAGCTGTGGCACGCATAGTCTCAGAATTTCTCCAAACTCTCTATGATAAAAGTCTTTGATACCATAAACTCAAATCAGGCAGAAATTGGTTGCTACGTGTCATGGTTACCATGGCAACATGTCCTAAAGTTTGAAAAATGGCATTTTTCAACATGTTCAGAGTCCCACTGTTAACGTTTGCAGCAAAGCAAACAAGTGGCAATGATTGTTTCTGAAAGTTGTAGGCCTGATGTCTTAAATGTATGATAAACATGTTTGGTAAATCAATTATTACATACGTTACTATGGAAACAAAGTATTCAAAAGTAATAATTTTGCTCATTTAATTTTATAAAATCAAACACTTAAGAATAAAAAAAATTATAGGTTGAAATGCAAGCAAATAATAGACAAAAGATCCTTGTAACATATAGCAAGGAAGAAATATGATATTTCTTATTGGTTGGCAATAGTTGCCATGGTTTTAATACCAAGAAGGGATTTTAAATTTACTCTATTAGTGTTTAAATCTAATCCTATCTTTTTAAAAAGCATATTTTTATATAACTAATGATCAATTTTTAAAGACGTTCATGTGACCCTAATTTTCACATTTCAAAAAACTCAAATTCAATTCTTTAAATAGAGCGTTGCTATGGAAATAAGCCGAAAAAATATGCATAAAAATCTGAAAAATATTCTGTTTCCTTGGATACGTACCCTTGTATGTAGATTCCCAAAACTTTTATGATTGATAATTATGAACAACTAACCTGACTTTCAGTTTTGACTGCCACCTAATCTCTAACTGGATGCAAAAAGCTCGCACATAGGGTTTAATATTGATATAAAATTAACAAAATCGAACATTTTCCCTTCTTGGTTACCATAGCAACAGTGCTGTATTTTTCAACAAACGTTATCAATATATGATATTCAACTTTAGTTCCACCAGATAAGTATTATTCAAGGTGAGTCAAATAATACGTTTCTTGAATAAAAGGTAAGTAAATTCCTAATGCAGCAAAAAAAATACCACTTTAAACAACTGGTACATTGTTTCCATGGTTACACTGCAAAGTAACAATTAATCCCATTTTTTTTCTTATGTTGTCGGTGTTGCAAGGTCCTAAGGATGTATATGTGCCAGTCATGAAATTTATTGTTTTTCCTGAAGATAGTAGCATTTACCCAATCTTAGCAACACATTTAGCATGGTAACACTGTGTTACCATGGCAACCATGAAAGTTATTTTTAGAATAATATTGCCAATACCTAATTACTTAAGGTAAAATATTTTTATTGTTTTTTCCTTAGGTTGTTGATTGAGTTTGATCATTTAACACCTATCATTAGTGAATATTGAGCGTTTTTCTGCATTTTTCAGCATCTAAAATGTATTCCAAATGTACCCATGGTTACCACTTACTTAGAGATAAATTCTAAATAGTTTCTTTATAGCATTAGTGGCAACAAGGTGTCAGGTTTTTGTGAGAATTGTTTGTTTGTTATTCTTAGTCTTTATTTAGGCTTAATAAAGATTCAAAGTAGCTGAAAATCTCAATTTTTCCAACTTTTCTGGCTGTTACCATGGCAACCAAGACACATAGCAACGAAATTTTATTTGATATATGTTTCTGGTGTCAAATTGTAATAATGTGCAAAGTTCCATCAAAATCGGTGACCATGCGTGGCAAAGAAGTTTAAGTGGTTACAGAGAATCGCTATTAATTCGAATTAAACGTAAGTTACTGCGAATTAAATTTGATCCGCGTTCACACGGAGAATTTAATGCGAATTAGTTTACTGCGCATTCAATTACTTCGCATTAGCTCCGTGTGAACGCTAAGCGAAGCTAATTCGAATTAAATTTTGACGCATGCGTAAGGGCAGAATTAAGTCACAGGCCACATGTCGATGGTCAAATATAAATACCTGTGCTATTTTTGAGTGGAAAACAAAGGAAAATTATGTCAATCACTAAAATGTGTACAGACACTGTGAATTTATGTCAAATGTAAATCTGCTCTGCAAATATGACGTGATTTATAAATAACGTCATAATAGCCTCACTGCATAGCCTTGTTGTAGAAATAAAATTATAATTCGCATTAGTTTACTTCGCATTAGCTGTCGTGTGAACGCAATTTAATTCGCATTAGTTTAATTCGCATCATTTTACTTCGCATTAATTTACTGCGAATTAAACTCTCCGTGTGAACAGGGCATTAGTGAAAGCCATCATTGCAGAAACAATATATGTTTATCAATGAAGGGCAAGTTGGACTTCGATAGCCTCTGGAAAGTTGTTTTCACTGTTTATTTTGTCCAAATGTTATGATTTGAAACCGAAAGTAAATTGAAAATGGCGGGTTTTATAGGGGTCTTGTCTTTATTCATGTCATGCTTTCAATAACAGCCTTTCAGAGACCATTCACGTCCAACCTGCCCTTCATTGATAACCATATATTATTTCTGCAATGATGGTTTTCACTAAAAGTACAGAATTAAGCAAAATCAAAATCAGTCAAAAATGTATATCAATCCATGCATATTTTTTGTGTTATGTACCGGTATTCTTAAACAAGATTGTTAATATCCTTGTATCAATTAATAATAATTATTTCGTTTTAAAAATTGTTCGTACGTAGAACTTGTTCTTGCGCATCGAATCAACAGGGAGACATTTACTCCATATGCAGGTGAAAGTAGTATATTGTTACATAAATAAGGGTAGTTGACGATAGAAAAGTTGAAGTCGTCATGTTTACAATAAAGTGTTGTTGTCACTTTGCCATCAATGTCTTTCTTTAGTAAAACATCAAGATATGAGACAGATTTGGCAGACTCTGTGGTGTCTATTATTTCAAGTTCACTGGGATGTTTCGAGTCGACATATGAATTGAAGTAAATATTGTTAAATAATAAAACTTCGTCGATATATCTAAATGTTGAATTGAATGCCACAACAAGAGACTTCTTTTCATGTAGACGTTTTTAAAATAAATTCTACTTCATAAGAATACAAAAATAGGTTTGCTAATAACAAGGCAAAATTAGTACCCATGAGAATTCCAACAGATTGCTGGAAGACCTCGAAAACTACATAGATATTGTCAATGAGAAACCCAAGCATCTTTTAATATTAGCATTGAGTACTTGTATGTAGAATCAGAATGTTTTCAACAAAACAAGTTTGCAGATTTTTTTTTTGGGGGGGGGGATGCTCATCTTAAATATTATCTCTTCGACTCCCCCCATAAAAAATAATAAAAGTAAACAGTATTTTCTATTGAAGGAATGTATGGTACACCGGGGTTCGATGTGGGTGTGTTTGCAGCTTTCATCATTGCAACAATCACATCGATAATCGATTCTATCGCCGATTATTATGCAGTTTCAAGAGTTGTTCGTGTCCCATCACCACCTGTTCATGCTATAAACAGGGGTATTTTGACAGAAGGTTTCATGAGCATGATGGCAGGAGTCTGGGGAGCATCGCATGCAACATCTACGTACGGTAGTACCATAGGATTCATCGCTCTAACAAAGGTTATCAAAATTTCTTCAGCAAAGACTTCCAACTACCTAAGCATGTCAATATTACCCACTTAACTATCAGTGTATGATATAAACTTGGAAATTAAAAACATCAGTATAGAACCTGTACAAAATTGAATAAGCCAATGATTAAAACCATAAACTAACAGCACATTCTTAAGAAAATTAGTATATCTTGAATATAATGTGTTTCCAAGAAACAACTCGTCCTTGAATCATCTCTTGCATTTTATATTTCCGCGTACTAAAGTTTTATTTGATTGGTGCGATATTTCAGTTAAAGAATGGAGACATTTTTTATATCCTTATCAAATCGGCAAAGTTACTTGTGATCCCTGGGTCGAGGCCTCTGCTTGTTGGCTGTTAGTCCCCGAGGGTCTCTACAACTCTGTATCTAGGTACATCGGTACTTGCTTGAAAATACGGATATACATGTATATTTAATTGCTGTGGTAAAATTTAGAAATTTATTTCAAAATTAAGGATTATCCCCCTCATGCATAGTTCTGATCCTTTTGGCTCAGTCTTAAGCACCCCCTTTTTCAGCTTTTCAAAGTTTTTTTTAAATTAAATATTTCGGATTTCCAACGTTTTGGCATGAGAATCACTGAAGAGACATAACTCGTCGAAATACACATCTGGTGCATCAAAATTGGTATCGTATGTGATTTACATTATGATCCCTGGGTCGAGGCCTCTGCTGGTGGACTGATAGTCCCCGAGGGTCTCTACAACCCTGTTTCTGAGTACTTCGGTACTAGCTTGAAAATACGGATATATATTTAGCTGCTGTGGTAAAATTTAGAAATTTATTTCAAAATTAAGGATTATCTCCCTCATGCATAGCTCTTATCCTTCGACATATTTCGCTCCAGTCTTTGGCACCCCTTTTTCAGCTCTTCAGTTTTTTTATTACATTAAATATTTCGGATTTCCAACGTTTCGGCATGAGCATCACTGAAAAGACATTATTTGTCAAAATGCGCATCTTGTGCATCAAAATTGGTACCGTACATGAATTACATTGATACATTTTCAGCCAATTTACGTTTAATATAAATTTTGTAAAATTGCAACATTTACTTTGCCCTTGAGATCGTATTTACTACTTGACAATGTTTATTTCAGAAGAAACAGTGTGGGAGGGGAAGGAACAATTAACACTAAATTTTCCTGATTTTTTTCTATTCTTTTCTCTTTGATATCGATAAACACATCATTTTTCAGGTTGCAAGCAGAAATGTATTCCAGCTTTTAGGTGTCTTGTTGATGATTCTTGGCGTACTAGGAAAGGTCAGCAGCGTCTTCGTAACCATTCCATACCCTGTGGTTGGCGGATTACAGGTAGTGGCATACGGATTTTTTATTGGTCTTGTTTTTGGAAACCTTCAGTATATCGACATGAATTCTACAAGAAATCTTGCAATTATTGGAATTTCTATGTTGTGGGGTCTTGTCATACCATACTGGTCAAAACTGAAAGGCGAGGATGTCATCAACACAGGTATGTTATATAGATGCCCAATATGAAAATGAAATAAAAGTCGTGAGGGCGTAATTTTGTTATCTGAAAAAATAAGTATAGTTCGTAAGATGATATGTAGTATTCGATATCAGTTCACTGTTCTAGGACTAGTCAAATTAAACTTAATGGCTATATTATTATATATGATAGAAAGTAACGCCGTGTCTCAATTACGCGATTATGACATTGAATATTGTCATTCTAATTTAAAATCATACATAATCAATCAGTTCAGCCAGTACTACATGTATTATTTTAAAATTTGTATTTGACATTAGGTAGTGTAGATGCTGACAACTTACTGAAGATGCTTACGAGAAACCCCAATTTTACTGGATTTCTTATCGCCCTCATTCTGGACAATACAGTACCGGGTGAGCATATAGTCACTGTGGTGTACATGCATACACTAATTTTCTTCGTATTGTAGTGATTTCCTTTCTTTAAAAAAGGAGGAATGAGTGAAAAAAAATAACAGAATCAAAATACTGACAAAAAATTGTTACTCTCTTGCTCTCTTGCTCCTGCATTTTATTTAACATTTAAATAGTAGTTACATTTTGCGTCAAGAATAAAAATCACGTATTTTAATTTTCTGTGCCGTTATATACAGAATATCCTTTCCTAAATCCATGAAGACTTAATCCATACTAATTTAACAACAATATTTATTATTTCTATTGATTCATATTTTGGAATCTAAACATAATCATCTGGCTATAATTTATTTATTGCACTCTTCATGTAATTGTAGGAACGTTAAAAGAGCGCGGAATGACCGTTTGGCAAGCAGCTGACCAGGAAGATGAAGGAGAGGATCAAAGCAATAATCTAGAGGAGGGGCGAGAGGCGTATGACATACCAGCACTATCGAAATTTTTTAGGAAATATCGAATTACCGCCTACATTCCGTTTTTACCAACTTATAGTCCAAAGAACTCTAAAAAGTCAAAATGAAAAAGCTTTTCATTAAACAGATCTGAACAAAAAAAAATTAACTGCTTGCCAAATTGTTTTTTATCATTTCACTATCTGGACAGACATAGAGCAGCATGTATGTCAGTCCGAATTTTCTCTCCCCTAAGAGCTACAGATTGTAGATAATCCTACTTTTGCAAAAGTTATTTACTTATTAATGTGTTTTGCCGATTTAGAAATGATTCAAAATCCTCGGGGGAACAATCTAATGTCCCTCATTGAACATACTCAGACCACTTGGACTCCAAACGATTTATGTGTTGCGTGGGGAGGAGTGGGGACTAACTTAATGCTTGAACACTTTTAAAAATTATTTCATTGAAATCCATGAAGTTGACTGTATGATCTAGGAGGGTCCCATACTAAATAGTCCATGATATTTTTAACAAAAGTATTTTTTGTTATGTGATGGATCATTCTCCATAGTCTTGATAATAATAACCAAAAGGATATGCTATAAATCAGTTGTCAACACGCTTTGTAAAAAGAAAAAAATAAATAAATAAATAAAAATAAAAAATAGATATATCGAAAATGTCAAGTTAAAATTCACCTTGTTTAGCCTGAAATTAATTTGATCCACATCTCAAAATTTACATCACTGATCCCAACTTTTTATTTCATTTATTTTAAATATCCTGATATTTCTTACTGATCAGCATTAAATTCATGAAAAGCTTTATATAAGAAATTATTATTTTAAGTGTGTAGATTTGAAATACCCAAAATATAATCTCTTAATTAGCGCAAAAAATTCAAACAATAATTTGCATGCATTTAATTGCGCAACTTTTTCAATATATAACATTTTAAAGATCACTTTTAATTAGAAGACAAACAACCCCCCCCCCCCAACATTCCACTGTTAAAAATATTAAACATCTTATTGAACGTTGAAAACTTATGATTTAGTTTTATTATTCACTATAAGTGGATTTTTTTTTTTTAAATTGTACCCTGAAGTTGAGATTAAAAGGATGCGTGAGTTTACAAAATTTTTCTTGAAAAGAAATCTCTTGCTGTGGTCTTCAATTCGACATTTAGACATATCTACGACGAATAATCAATTAAAGTGACAGTACGGCGCATCTCATCAAAAAACTGACTTGATAAAATTTTCCTACAAGATTTGGAATTTTTTTTACTAGTCTTAAATATATAAACTTTCAGAAAATTACAACTTTCACAATTGAATAATTTTGATTATTTCATTAAAATTAATAGTTATTTATGGGACGTAAATATATACATCGCAACGTGTTCGGGGTTCCACATTCCATGCCATGCACGCATGCGTAGTTTTCATAAACAAAACAGCATGGCAAGAGAGGGGAAGCCCGGTAGGCCTGCTACATTGACAAAGTCGACCAAAAAGAAAAAGAAACTGAAAATAGAGCTTGAAAAAGCAACTTTCCTGACTAAAATTTAGTTTGGGGGTTAATGTAATCGTTGGATAAGGAAGAAACGGGAACTCAGCGACACTCACGCAGGGCTCTCGAAGGTTCTACTCGACAGGTTTGTTGATACTTGTTATCATTTCTCATTTTTCCATCGCTTTCAAAGGAAAAAAAATAGTGTAAACTCAACATAAAAATACACCTATGACTTATAAACAGTGTTGCCATTTGAAGTGCTAATTTTTTTAACTGTGCAGAAAAATATTTTGTTTGACATTTGCCGCGATAACGTATGACTTGGTGGTTTTTCCTTTCTCGGACCCCAATACACAAAACGTCAACATTTGTACTTTTAATTCTTTTAAATTCGCCTGAAAGCAGACTAAAATCTTTACGATTATTATTTTAGATTATTTCATCAGAAAGTTATGATAATTTGCTTTTGACAATTGCTTTTATCTCATATTCATTATAATTGCAAACTCTACAGTGTAGGCACGTGCTGTTTTAGAATTCACGTGGTACAAATAAACAGATCTAAGATTGCTCCAGTTCGTACGACCCTTGATTTTCCGGAACATTCTAATTACGTTAATTTTGTATGAGGAGAGAATATTTTTGTTTCTCAAACTGCTTACATCAACTTTATACTTTATTTCTTAATGATATATTGGGTAAATTTGAATGAAAAAGCACACGTTTTGCAGCCGTACTGTCGCTTTAACAGTTATACCGTCACGGTATCTCAGTTGGTAGATTCTGTGATTGGAAGGTCGTTGGTTCAAACCCCGGCCGAGACTGACCTAATAAAATAGGAAGCTATTGTTCCTTCGCCACTCACTCGACACTTCAAATGAAGTTTAAAGTTGTGGGTCTTTTGGATGAGACCTTAAAAACCGAGGCCCCGTGTCATGGCAGGCGTCTGCACGATAAAGACACTTCACTGCTCAATGATCCTGAGTGCTGAGTAAAGGTCGAAATTGGAAGCCTTTCACCGGTATATGGTGATGTCTGAAATATGAAGCTAAAGAACAGTATTCAGGCTCAAAGTCCAATGAATGCCTAAAAAAAAGATAACTGTACTTAACGCCAGGTTTTGGGCCTTTTTCCGTCGCTCCTGTTGCTTTTATATCTAAACCATATTTTACTTTTGTATATTTACTTAAGAATTCTGTCAATTTGTCACCAAATTTAAATGTTAAAATGATTTCTGCTATGATACAATTGAATAATTCTATGTTTTTTTCCTTACTGCCTTCCGTATATAGAGAATTCACTTTATCTGCCCTTGATTAAACATTAGGTATGCCTGAAAGGTGGAGCTTACATTGTAAGAATGGCGTTAAAATTAGACTAGATAAATATAGGTTACAATGAAATGTATAAATATATGAGATAACTCTTTCCTATCGTCCCCTATGGCACACTATTTACAAAGGTTTCAAAACGAAATTAACAAAATGAGCACGTCCATCTAAGTTAGGAATATTTTGAATCGATGCCTGACAATTCAACGTGTTCGAGCACAGTGTCCTATTTAGCACAAAACATGCTACCTTACAAGTCACGTGACGGAATTTAGTATTCACAGAGTTACCTGAGGTAAGAAATCACGTGGTGAATTACAATATTCTACATGCCACCGCCCTTGGTAATTACAGAGAGGGAGAATGTAAGAAGAAGCATTCCTTTCTCTTTTAAACCATGAGCGCATGTTTGTCTATTAATCTCCTTTTGACACAACGTTATTTTGCAAATATACAACTACTATTAAACGTAGAACAATAGACAAACATGCGCAAACTATGTATAAAGTCAGTGAAAAGTGGCAGTCCTCCTTATCGTATAGAGATTCAAGAAATTGTGATGACCCCCGCCTTTGAATACAGCTTCGTGCTTCGAAAGTACATTTAAAGTACTTTTATTTAATGTAATTACGTAAAGTTGGAGATTATAGATGTTGACCATGGACCTCTAAAAACATCAGAGATGGGATCAAGTGCCATGGAGTAGTAAGCATCCATGTCGGCCGATAACACCCGCCGTTTATCATGATCGGGCAAACGGAAAAACCCGTAGACAGTTCAGTGTAAAAATAATGGCCAGACAATTTGAATGAAAAATATCAGTCAATATTCGACTCAATGATAGATTGTATTTGATGACAAGGTCATTGTATCGACCATAGAATTTATAAATATATGAGTGAAAAATTCTCGGACGGGACTTACAACAACATACAATCAATCAATCAATCAATTTTATTCCTACGTTGATTCGATATATCCTCTTGAACCCGAAATAAAAAGCATTACAGAGTTTGACACGTCTTTTTCATATTAGTTGTTTTATTAGAAAAAGACAATGATGGCAAACTAACAACTAAACTTTTTGATAAATGTGATGATTTCAACTTTTCTTTCAAAAACTTCCTTTATTTTAGTAGTAGTATACCATTAACGTAGAACTTGTGTGTAAGGATGACACAACAAATTAAAAGTTTAAAGTTTACTTGTGGCAAAATTTTAGCCATGGTGGAATTAAAAGTATGTACATTAAATGCTAAATCAAACAACATACAACTGCAAGGGATGCCAGTTAGCAAGAGCAAGCCCCAAGCATACAATTTATTTACATTTTATGAGATATTGATGACAAATTACATCAACAAACAATGTTAGATCAACATTTCAACATTATCATCAACTTCATTGTATTATCAACATCAAAATCAAATTGTCAATATTTCAATGACTTTCAGTTTGTCTTTCATCAACATCAAAATCAACAATTGTATTTTCCAAAAACAACATGCTTACAACCAATTATGAAGGGATGCCAACAGCACCGGGTTGATTCGCATGTGTGTCAGCATCCCCCACGATATGCAATGCTACAGTTGGATTTTTATTTCCAACATTGAACTTGAGTGGTTCGTCCGCCACAAGATCGAAAGATCTCGCCAACAAAGGGGGTCCCTTATACGACCATCAGCACTGAGTACTTCATACTGTCCAGTGAAACCCCCATGTTGACAAGAATCACTTAAACTGCATAAGATTCCACCGCGGAATCCAAATCTCTGTAGTATTAATGCTTTTTCGGGAATTGTTGCAGACCATTTTTTAGGTTTTAACAAAATATGTCATTTCCTTCTTTGGATAGATGGACTCCATCTAGTTTAAATAAACGATAATAATGTTTTTGAATTGTGGGTGATATATGGCCCCACTTATATTAAGGAAGTAACGCATGTCCTGCCTATTTATTCTAGCTCGTGTTGTTTCTATTGTCCTGACATTGTTTTATCGATTGATTAATTATTGTTTAACGCCGGGTCGGCAATATTTCAGCCTGATTTCAGCGAGACATTGTTTGAATAACGCTACGTAATGCGAGGCAACAACTTAGACCATACAAGTTTTGGTTGGAAAATCTTAGCTGCAATAATGTAGCCCTCTCCGATTTTTTTTAATCTGATATTTTCAGGAGAGGGCTACAATTCCATTGCATCTCCGTAATGGTGCAAATATATTTTTTAGATACGGGAGACTGCAGGCAAAATAAATTGTTTTTGTATTCAACTTACTTCCAATAAGACGGAATTTTTATTCACTGTCAACATCATAGCCCTTTATACACG